ATGTCTGGTTTGTCTGAATGTCAAGCCTCCAGGAATTCCTGGGTTTAGCTTGGCCTAGGATGCTCACAGTTTCCCAGTTAAAAATATGGTGGAGTCTGCCCACATGTTGTAAGATTAAGATGTTGTCATCCTGTCTTCTGACTGCAAGTTGGTGTTCATGGATATGCTGTGCTAGTCTTCTGCTTGTCTGTCCTACATAGTGACTGTTACAGTGTATGTTACGGATGATTCCTTTTTTTGCTTCTGGGCTTACTGTACTGGGTCTTTGGTTTATTTAAGGGGTTTGGGATGACTTTAGTTGTTATGTATACTACAGTTATTCTGTACGATTGTTATAGTCGGTTGTTTCTGAGATGCTTTTGATATATGACAGAGACAACCACCTTTTTTTTTAAAGATTTTTATTTTAACAACAAACAAAACAACATAAGACATACAACATAAAACATAAAAACATCATCCTTCTTCATAAATTTACAAACAGTGTATCAGTTGGTTTACCACTTTTTTGTGTGCATCCATTTCCTAAACGCTAATATAATTATATTACATAATAACTCATATTATCAATCAATAATTGTATAACCCAATATCATCACTAAGAAATCATTTATCTATAATTTTATTAACTCATACTTTAACGAGATAACTATAATTTACTTAATTTGTTTTGCAATGAATCGTAAGATCATACCAAATCTATCTTAATAAAGTTTTATAAAAATAATATCAAAAAAGAAATTATATCCTAAGTCTAAATGTTCTATTATTATGTTTTATTATCTAACCATTGATAAAAAAGATCCCAAACTTCATAAAATTGTTTATCTTCTTGTTCTCTAATTTCAAATGTCAATTTACTCATTTCAGCACAATCCAATATTTTCTTAATAATTTCTTCCTCTGATGGAATTTTCTCACTCTTCCAGTTTTTAGCAAATACAATCCTAGCCGCTGTTAATACATTTACAATCAAATACTTCAAATTTTTATTATATGTATCAGGTAAGATTCCCAATAAAAAAATCTCTGGTTTCAAGTCTATATGTGCCTTTATCATTTTTTCCAACCATATGCGAATTTTAGTCCAATATTTTCTAGCATCCTCACAAGTCCACCACATATGGTAGTATGAGCCAGGTATCTGATGACATTTCCAGCACTTTTCAGATTTGTTCTTAAACATTCTTGCAATTCTTGTCGGGGGGAAATGCCACCTGTAAAACATCTTATACAAGTTTTCTTTATAAGCTGTTGACATTGTCATTTTATAATTTTGAGACCACAATTTTTCCCATTTCTCCAAATCAATCCCATATCCAAAATTCTTCCCCCAAACAATCATCGTTTCTTTAACTTGTTCCTCCTCTAATATAATTTCCAACAAATAACTGTATAATTTTTTTAATCACTTTTTCATCAGTACCTGTCAAGATCCTGTCTAAATCAGTCAATTTATCATAAAATCCCTCCATTTTAGAATCTATAAGATATCTTGAATGTATTTGCCCATATGAAAACCAATTCATCTTTATGTCTTGTTCTTCAAGTTTTTGCATTGTTTTAAGTTCACTCTTTTCATCTAATATTTCCCCATATCTAACTGTTTGTTCCTTCTCATATATTATAGGATAAGAAAAGGCTTCAATAGTTGATAACCAGACTGGGATTTTCAAATAACATTTTCTCTTAATTTTCTCCCAATTCAACCATAAAGACTCCCTTATATAGTGCCTTCTAAAATAGCCCTGCGATTTAGTTCCCTTATACCACAGGAAAGCATGCCATCCCAGTAATAAATCATGTCTTTCTAATGTCAACAATCTGGTCTTTTTTAATGTTATCCATTCTTTAACCCACATTAAATTTGAAGCTTGGTAGTACAACTCCCAGTTTGGAAGGCCAAATCCTCCTCTAATTCTAGCATCTTGTAGAAGTTTTAATTTTATTCTGGCTTTCTTACCTTGCTTGCCATATAAACTTCAACACAATTTTATTTAATTCTTCAAAATAATCTTTACCAAGTCTAATTGGTATGGTTTGTAACAAATATAAAATTCTGGGTAAAATATTCATCTTGATTGTTGAAATTCTACCTATCAATGACAATTGTAAGTTTTCCCATTTCTTCAAATCAGATGCTATCTGTTGTTTAAGTTTAATATAGTTATTCTCTTTCAATGTAGTACCTCTTGACGTCAAATGTATCCCCAAATACTTAACCTTATTCGTAACTTGAATTTTCAATAAGTCTGCCAGTTCATCTCTTTGTTTTAGTAACATATTCTTTGTCAAGATCTTTGTTTTATCTTTGTTTATTTTCAGACCCGCCATCTCACCATACATCTCTATCTTTTCCAATAGTTTTAAAGCTGTTTCTAGAGGATCTTCCAGAATAAAAACCAAATCATCCGCAAAGGCTTGCAGTTTAAATTCCTCCTCCTTAATTTTCATTCCTTTTATATTTGGATCCTCTCTAATATTTCGATTCACTTCCAAAGTCAATACAAATAACAAAGGTGATAATGGGCATCCTTCTCTTGTGCCTTTTCTTATATTAATAGAGTCTGTAAATTCTCCCTCTATCATTACTTTTGCCGTTTGCTTATCATATATGGCTTCTATTGCTTGAATAAATTTTCTGAGACAACCACCTTTTGTGGTGGTTGTGCTATAGAGAATTAACTGGTCAGGCAACCAACCCTAGTATTCTCTTATATTGAAATGATAGTGTTTTGGAAAAGTGGTAGGAAAAATGCTGAGCCATTTCTAAGATTTTAGCTGACTGTATTTCAACTATCTCCTTTTAAGGCATAAATGTTTTGTTGATAAAGGAAAATAATATACTTCAATTTGTTCTTTCTCTATGATTGACTGTACTGAACTTTATCATCATTGTTAAGTCTCCTGTTTGTTTATGGGGACCTCATATGCTATTTTAATTGATTCCTGGCTATTGCAATTAATGAAATAATCTCTCTTTATTGATTAGATATTGCAGAAAATGAAAATGTTCAGTAAAAGAATTCTTGCTTTTCATCATGGCATCCCAGGGTTTATTTTCTGCCACTTTCTTTTTTGAAAATTAAATTGAGATGAGAATGACCCTAGAAATCTGCTTTTAGTCAGATTAAGTACAGAATGAAGTCATGGACTAAAGATTACTGGATGAATCTGCACATACGCCTAAATAAAACAAGCCATAGTATGCCTTAGCATATTGGTGAATTTAGGCAAATGTGATTTACTCAATAAATTGTGATGAAACAATGGCTTCATTGCCAAGCCTTAATTTGTTTTAACTGCAGTCCAATAAGTTATTACAGATCTTTTCACCTAAAATAGTAAGCTATAAACTATGATTTATAAACCACAATATTGGGTTCATACCACATACTAAACCAAAACCAGGCTACACTTTGGCTTATCATGATATGTGTACCCAACTTTTTATGTTAGTGGAGTTAGTGGACTTTTAAAAAAAATTCTTCCTGTGGTGAGCCCTGACTTTGAAGCTGAGATGTTGTGTAAAATTTCCAGAAATAATATTAATGCGATCATAACATTGGCCTACTTGACCAAGCATGTAACAGTTAGGGAGATTAACATGTTCAAAATTTCGTGAACAATGAAAGCATCTGGGCTCAAAATTATGAACTTCCCCTTGAAATATTTAACATCCTAACTATGACCCTTGGTTTAATTGTTCATTGGAATTCTGAAAAGTTCTTAGTGCTTTGAGTATTTAGATTTTGGCAGTTTAGTAGCACCTACATTTGAGAGTAAGTAAACAGCATCTTAAACCCAAAGTACCTGATTACTTCTGTTAAATGTTGGCGAGTGTGCTGTTGTGTTACACTTCTTAGTTAGTGAAAGAGTGCTGTGGATGAGTAAATGACTAGATCTTGCAAGTTCCCTCCCCCATGATTAATTGTAATGCACAGTGTGCTGTGCACAGAGCCCTGCATAATCTAGCTCCGTCCTCTTATAGTCAAGCTCATTTATTTTAAATGTCAAGGTATTTTTTTTTAATCAGGAAAATCTTCCTCTCTGCAAACTGCTTTCTTTTAAGTACACCAGCATTTTGAAATATTGGTAGGATGAATGGCAGCTCTTAATGTATAAATGAGGCCACTGCTATGAGATTTAATTGAGCTGATTCCCAAGACGCTTTTAATTACTTCTTGTGATATGTTCAGTTTCTGAAGTATTTATTGAGGTGGCACTCTTTGCGTGCATGTAGGCACATGCACAAATGGCAGTTGTAGAATGGCTCCATACAAATTTAGCTTACGCTAAGCTAAAAAGGGGGCTTGGTGTTTTGTCAGCCATTGTTTTAGTAAGTTGTGTGAAACAGGTTGTTGCTTTAAGCCACAATATGATTGTACAGGATGCGGGGAAAGAGGAAGCAGAGAATGCTGCATGAGCTCAGCTATTGTGTTTTGTTAATTCAGGTTTGGTGATAAAATATTGCATGGAGGGCTAATGTAGTGGTTGAAATATTATGTCCAGAAGCAGAGAAGGGATCATTCAGTTTAGAGAGAAAGTCAATTGAATTGGCAAGCAATGTTTGCACAAAAACCCTTAATCAGGTTACTACCGGTATGTAGGGTGAAGCCCTACACCTTGCCAGCTTAAGCCCGAGGAAGTATACTTCAAATCAGAATAAACCACAGGGCCCTTCCATAGTCAGCTGTTGTGTGAATACCAGGACAGTAAAAAGTGAAGAGGTTGCTCAGCCTTGACTGCACAATACTGTACAAAAAAGAAAAAGCTGGAGTTGTAGAGTTGCTGGAAAAGCCAGTGGCAGAATGGATTGGAAGGGCGGAGGGGGCGCAAAATCCTTGGGAAGTTCCCAATGTTTCTGAGACTCGGAGAAGAGACTTCCAGAATTGTTTGCATGATGAAATAAGCCAAATTTGGCACCAAGTAGGGGTAAGGCACCTTGTACTACAATATACCAGATGTACTAATAGTTCCTTCTTCTTCTTTTTTTAAAGGTCCACTTTGATCAGTTTAAAGATGCACTAATCCTCATCTTGTCTAGCACATTAACCAATGAAGAGTCCTTTCAGCAACCAGGTAAGACCTATTTGGGAAATGTTGAGATTCTGGCAACCATTAGGAAAGGAGAAGTACATAGTGCAACCATAATCCATTTAGAAAAGTTTCCGTGTATATAATGAAGTGTGAAGCAGTATTTGGGCCAAGTGGCTTTGATTTCCTGTATTAAGTTCTCCTCTAAGTAGGAACTGGTGGCTTTATTATATAAATATTCTGCTTAGTTTATATGCAATTTAGAAGAAGCAGCTGCAAGCAGAAGGAGGGACATGTCAACTTATCGAAAGGTTAACAGGTTTTGATTGGGTTGGCAAATGGGAATTAGAAATATTAGTATCAAACAAATTCAGGTAGTCACAGCATACTATGATCTAATTTTTAAAACTATTTGGGAGGAAGTTGCACATAATATGGTACTCATGGGCCAATCCCTAATCCAGTGTTTCTCAAATTTGACCACTTGAAGGTGTATGGACTTCAAGTTGAAGGTATGAAGCTTCAACTTGCAGCAAGAGCAATAACACTGCTTCATAGTGCTTTATAGTCCTCTCTAACCAGTTTACAGTATCTTTCTATTTCTCCCCAACAATCTGGGTCTTCATTTTACTTAATCCCAGCAGGATGGAGGGCTAAGTCAACCTTGATCTGTTCAAGATCAAACTGCTGGCAGTCAGCAGAGTTGGCCTGCAACACTACATACTAACCAGCGTGCCACCATAGAGCAGTAGTAGCTGAAGTCCGCATATCTTCAATAATAGATTTTCCAAAGACCTGTAAAGTATTTGTTTCCCCAGATTCTGTTTCCAAGACCTAGATCACAAGATGTATTGAACTTTAACATTGACTTTGATGTAGTGTATTAGGTAAAAATACTGTGAACATTTGAGGGTTGGTAAATAAACTATAGGTACAGTAAACAAACCAGGGCTTAATGGAAGGTATGAAAGCAGTTTTTATGTGACCACAGTTGTTTTCTTTCAGGGTGTAACATATGACCCTTTTCCTTTGCATTCTGGTATTCACCTTTATGATCTCAGAGACAGGCAATGTGAGACTTCTTGGCTGATGTTCCAGGCTTGTCAGAATGAAACTATTTTTGACCATCTGTCAGAGTTTTTAAAGTGTACTTATTCAGTTTATATGACTGCCCATCTCAGACATGTGACTCAGGGTGGTAAGCAATCATAAAATCAATTAAAAAGTAAACTGCAATCACAACACTAAAAATTAAATACATACAGCTGCCAAGAAAAGCATTATAGTCTATAGTTGTTAAGGAAATGCCTCTTTTGCACAGAATGACTGAAGTTTGGAAGTGAAAATGCCTAGTACTAATGAGTCCATAAACCAAGACCGTCCAGAGAGTATTTCTCAGTCCAGCAACTTTAAGATGAGTGGACTTCAATTCCCAGAATTCCTAAGCCCCAATTTAGGTGACTAAATTCTTGGAATTTATGTCCACTCATCCTAAAGTTGAGATTGAGAAAGACTGGCTTAGAATAAGTAAGGAGACAGAGAATTGATAGTAAATTAAATGGAGGTTAGCCTCTTGGGCATGAACTATAGAATTAAAGGAACCGTTTTCTTTGCTGAGAAAAGGGTTTCTGAGTGTGTAAAATGAAAGCTATCTTAATGTAATGCAGTTAAACTTTTTTACACTTTAAACTATGCTCCAAAATTAAAACATTATTTCAAAGCTAAGGAAATATTTTGGATGTCTAGTAACTGAAGGGGCAGCCAAGCTGACTTTGTTTTAAAGAAATGAGTTAAAATATAATACAATGATAAGAGTTGCAGCATAGTTAGTAATTGCTTACAAAAATAGCTACTCAGGTTGATTAAACCTGACAGTAGTTAGCAAAGGAAAGAATGTACATTTCTTCTGCCCAGTCCTCAGGGATAAAACTATATGTTTGTGCTTGCCTTGAAAATATTTTTAAATTGACTGGATTCATCTTGCTGAGTAGATACTTTACCAGAGGGCAAATAAAGATGATTCATCAGGGGCATCAAAAACCCTAAGGTTTCTTTCCTTTATATTTTCTGACCGCCACTTAGAGATTCTCAGTTTGGGTTTTTTAAGTTGAAATTTCTGAAGTGTTGATAATATGTGTGGTTAATAAAAGAAGTAAGAGTTCTTAATTCTAACTCATTTAGACAATCAATTGGTCAGTCATGTTCATATCCTTGCATTTGGACAGCCAGCCTAAAATGAGCGAGAGGGGGAGAGTAGAAGATAATTGTCCCATGGCTGTGGACTATAGACCAGGGGTGTCAAACTCGGAATGACACATTGTCGTCATGTGACATATTACAACTTTTTCTCCCTTTGCTAAACCAGGGGTGGGAGTGGCCAGCGGGTGACGCATCTAGCCCATGGACCATGAGTTTGACACCCCTGCTATAGAATATACCCTCTGTCTCTCACTCTCAATCTAAGACTTTTATAAGAATCATTTTCTCAAAGGAGCCATCATCTTTGATAGCATAATGTTCAAATTCTGCTCATGGAAGTCTTGATTTTTCATTATTTCTAACATTGCTTGTCCATGTCTTGACCAGCAAATCTACAAGAAGCCAATGTAGAATGACTTCCAGCTTACATGGAAGCATTGGTGTGTATTCAGATGTTAAATATTGTAGGCAACCATTCTATAAACAGGCAGGCAGACTTGTCTCTGGAGATTCTCAATCATCCACCTTATGGTTGTCCCAGAGGTGCTTTTTCAAAAGGCAACTTCACTTTGTTTTTTCTTGAAGACATTTCACTTCTCATCCAAGAAGCATTCTCAGTTCTGATTCCATTCCCCAGCATTCACTCAGAACTGAGGATGCTTCTTGGATGAGAAGTGAAACTTCTTCTAGAAAAAACAAAATCCAGTTGTATCTCTGGGTTTTCAAGGAAAAGGACCAAGAAAGTCCAGCTGCCTTTTGAAAAAGCACCTTTGGGATGAAAATAGTTTTTGTCAGTATAAGATAATATACATAGCTTAAAGTTGAATTATGGAGTCCTGGGTGCTCTCAGAATTTGGTTGTTTGTTTACAGACTTTTTGTTACAACACAAAGCCAGCTAGCCTCTCAATAGGCTACTGACCTTGATGGTCATTGACTTGTTCTGTTTCTTTTATGCATATGGTCTGTCTCAGGTTTGCTCTTGTTTTTATTGTTCTTTGTGTGCTGCGTTTTTTCCTGACCTTTGAAATGTTTTCCATGTATCCATCAGACCTACAATAAAATGACTACATACAAAGCGGTGCTTTTTGTAACTGGCTACATGTGTATTGCTTCTTTCCAACCCAACAAAATCTTGGAACGGAATTGTGAAAAGGGTCTTGAGACCCAGTCCATCAGCAGGGATAATTCTTTGAAACAAAACAGAATTGGAAAAAATTTGGCATAGGGTGAGAAGATGGCCAACTGGAAAAAAGATTGACTTTTTGAAAAGTGTTGAATCTGGCCAGAAGCTGAAGGGAGAAAAAAAGAAGAAAACAAGAAAAAGAATCTCCCAATACATCCCTAGGGCAGAGGGAGATGCCCCCCCTTCCTCCTCCCCATTCACACTACCCAGGGTGGAGCATGGGCAGTCTTTCCTGTATTCACTGTACATGCATAAAGTTATAAATCGAGCAATGTGAGGGAACAGGAAAAACACGTCCATGTGCAAATAGGCCACACTGTTTTGTTACACAGGAAAAAATATAAATACCTCCTATGGCGACTGCTAGTAAAAGAGCTGGAAAGAATTCCCAAGACTTGCTGCCTGTGCTTTCTGTTCTTTGTTTTGAAATGGCAGCTGTAGGGCAGAGGTGGTGCCCCTCCTGTGTAGCAAGAGCTAAACCAACATTATCTGAGCTGTGGTATCCTCCAGAGCAGCGTTTCTCAATCTCAGCAACTTTAAGATGTGTGGACTTCAACTCCCAGAAATCCCTCCAGCATGCTGGCTCCCTACCTCCACCCCAATGTTTGAATAATGGCAGGTACGGCTTCCAGGCTGTACTGAGTGCAGTGTATTTTCAAGGCGCAATGCCATTAGTTGCACTTATGAAATTCTTCTAAAGAAAAGAAATGCTTATCTAAGGAAAAAAATGAATTAACCCATGGGTTTCTGAGCATTTGTGAAAGCAAACCCCATTCCCTACTAGCACTGATGATGTTACCTAGCTTGGTAATGAAAATATCTGTAAGAAACAACCAAACTCAGAGAGTACCAAGGATCCCATAGTTCAACCATGAGCTACCAATATTCTTTTCTAATGGGGGTTGATATATCTATTCGCAAATTCTCTTTTAGAAAACCATCACCAAAATTTATTTATCTACAGGGCTCTCCAGTGTATATTCTGCTTGAGAAGACAGACTAGATTGGTTTTTGATCTGATTCAGTAGGTTGCCTTGGCGTTTGCTTCATGTGTTCCTATGAATGGGCATCGCCCAGCAAGATCTGGAGATCTCTAGTATTAGGTATTTTAATGGCCTTATCGCTGGATGGGTATGGTAATATGTCAGCACATACAACTGCTCTTCTGAAATATAATATCTGCTTGTTCTGAACTATGTATCTATTTAATAAGATAAAATCTTCTTTGAGTCAAGGTCAGCTCCAGGGGATTTCAGGGACAAATCTATGTAATATTGTTAGCAACCATAGAAAATTGTTGTTCCACTGTTATCTTCAGCAATTTTTTTTAGCTTCCCAATTTAGCCGAAAGCTGTGGTTTTTCATCCAGATGCTGACCACATTTAATCCTCCTCAGTTTTTCAATATTACCCCCAAATATGCCTATGCCCTATTTAGTGCCTGTTAACCACTGTTGCCAAATTTGAGGTGCTGATGGATTGGAATTTGATTCTTGTAGAAGGCCCTACATGAAAAGGTAGGTGAGAAACAGAACTGTACTCAGAAATAAAATATGGAAGGAACACAGTTGCTTTGCCTATTTCTAGCCCAGCCCAGCCCAGAGTATAATGGACAGAACCCATGAAATTAGTTCTGCCTAAGAGCAGCAAAGTACAAGGAGTT